AAATTTTTTTCTACCACACTTAGTTTTTACATATCACTTGGCTTTATCATAAATGTTGGGGTGACAGGCACCCTTCTCTCATCTCACTTTCAATAGCTACAAAATGGTATGTATTCTGGAAATGTGAACCCATTTTAATATTTATGATTAAAGATCATTGAGAAATTCATCAGCTAAAACAGAAAGTATAGTGCTATGTCAAGTTAATAGAAACTACCACTAGAATTGTCCAAAATGTCCCTGCCCCTTTGTCTTTCTCTGTCATCAAAGGCAATGGAGAATTGCTCTGTTTAGAAAAAGAGGAGGAACCAAATCATACTCTAAGGTTGGATAAAATATAACTGAATGCAAAGAGGTTTGTGGGAGGAGCAGAATTTATGTTTCAATCCGGGAAAGCAAGTGAAAAATTTAGATTGAGTATAAGAGAAATTCCTCAAAGGCACCTGTAGTTAGCAGCTTTTTTTCCCATTGGAAGCATTAAGAACCAGATTGTCTGTGACAGGAGATTTTTGGTTTTGGTTGGCTTCTTACTTTAACTGAACGGTACTACAGGGGAATGATTTCCAACGCAGCAAGTCCTGAGTGTGGTTTACTGGAGGCCTTCAAAACGGCGGTGACATCCACTTGTCTATCACACCTCTCCTTGGATTATCCCCTGTATTTCCACATCTCTACCTCCACATGCATTCCATCCGATATTACAGCTTCATCTCAAACTAAGGATGACTGTATCCTAATGTAATACTCTCCCAGTCTCTCTGTATAGTTTCCACTTCTGACTCCCCACCTCCATCAACTACGCCATCATTCTCCTGGCCATTAGATTAAAATCCTAGCACCCCCACCTTTTCTCACACCTACTCTTTTCTGCTCTGGCGTCTACTCCACTTTTACTTCTTATGTGACAATCCTGCCTGGAGTTTTAGATTCTAATGTCACAGACGCTGGCTAATAACTTGATTTTCCCCCTCTGTTCTTTCAGCCACAACATGCTGTTGCAAACTCATTGCTCTTGCCAGGACAGCCTTCTGGTCTACCAGGTCCTGGGTTTGTCTATCACTGTTAGGATTCCAGTACCGACTCCAAGTATGAAACGAAACACCCTCCTTTCTTTCCATGATTCAAATATTACTTATTTGCACGTTTAACTTGAAAATTCTTTTATAATATTTCTTTGCTAGCTCATATCTGTAAATACACTATAACTGAGTAGTCAATACTGAGTAAGCTTAAAAAAGGGGGTGTGCCAATGACAGTGGGTGCTACAGCAGGCACTCAGCTTGAGGGACACAAACTTTCTAGCAGTCTACATTCCCTTAGCATAAAGAGCACCGGGTTGGTTTTCTTTAGTTCCCCTTACAGGCCTTTATAGATAACACCATCTCCAGTTTTCTACAGTTTGTTGTCTATGATTAGTGCTAAGAGTAGACCTGGAGCAGAATTCTTCATCTTTTCTTTTCCTTGTTTATTATGTAGGACCAATATGATTTGGGGATAGGTCGTAATTTTGGTGTGGGACGGCTGGTTTCCCAGAAATCGCATATGGATATTAGTGAATGTCCTTGGTACGACTATGCTGAGTGTGAAAGCTGTATCTGTCTAAGGACATTTATCACACAAGATGCCAATTCCCACAAGAGGACATAAAGAATACCAGCTAGTACTCCAGAAATGTCAAAAGCTCTCCTGCTTTTCCTCTCTTGATAAAGGTCTTTGGTGCTTATTATAGGATAGGGGCTATTATGGTGAGAGTAGTGTCAAAGAAGTTACCATGGATATTTTTAGCCTACATAAATTTGGGGGACAGTATCCTCTTTGAGCTCATCTAGAGCCATCACATTCAATTCCCCATGATATAGTGGACATTGTGAGCCACTGCTATTTCTGAAGATTCCACAAGTCATGCTGGTGGCTCTCTGTGAAGACCTGATGGCCACTGCTACTAAGATAGAAGCAGATTCTAGTACGGAAAACACTAGTATAAACAGTTTATATATATATTATCTTGCATTGTTAAATTTTCTTTCTTTATTTTTATTTCCCAAGTTATCCAGTAACTGAGATCATTTCTTATATTTCTATACATCCTTTTTAATGCCTAAAGCTCAGTAACCTGCAAAAAGTATTTATTATATTAATTAGCTAATTAAAAACCCACAGGCATATACCTTGGAAGTACATAAATGTAAAAGATGCAAATCTGATTGCCTAACAAACTTAGAAATTTCAAAGCTTCTTCCTAGTAGCTCATATAGACCTCTGACACAGCCAATAACGATTATTAAGGAGGATAATCTTGGATGTGGTATTTTGCATATTTCAGCATGTTTATCATCCAGATACCTATGATAGGGATATGTTAAATGAGGGGGATCATTTACTACTTCTGGAATACTAAACATGGTGTGAAAAGAAGAGAAGTGTTCCTTTTAATCTTTTGGGAAAAAATAAAAGTGGGATAATGTTCTTTTCTAGGAATTATTAGCTTTTCTAAAAGCTAATAATTATGAACCTCTGCTGACAAGACAGGTACAGGGAGGATCACAGGACAGAATGAGTGCACCACAGCATGCACTAATTTCTAGTAATTTCCAAGTGACAGATATTAGTATGATTTGCTTATGGAGACCTGCTCTCTTTGAAGAACCCAGAGGAGCTGACTTTTAGAATCTGAGGGCTACTGGTTACTTTGACCTTGAAAACAGTTTGATATCAACATTTTAATCAGAATTATACTTACACTGATGAACCCATTACCTCCTTGATTTGATCAATTTTCTTTTCATTGCATCCTTGCCAATCATTTAAATTGTTTATAAATAACTTTTTTGGAATCAGTTATGTTGCATTTACATTTTTAAAAAAGATTTCATTCATTCAGATGTTTTAATGTCCATATTAAACTTAGCCAACTTCTACTATTTTCATTTTTCTTTTGTGATTATTATTTTTATCAAGTCCATACGGTCCTGATCTAAGTCTGTAAGATAGTCTCAATGAGAGAAGAAAGAGACACAAAGGAAGAAGCAAACAGAGGAAAACAGGCTGCAGCTGTTATGGAGTCTTAACCCCAGAGGACAGGAATACATAGCAGGGACAAAACAGCCGTGGACTTTATCTTCAGAAGAACATCTTTAGGGAATTATGGAATCAGCATGGAACTTGGAGCAACTGAGCTGTCCCAAGAATGACACTATAGAAGTCCACTCAAGGGGGCTGTTTGATCATTGTAATCTGAATTTTTTGATGATGCCAACAGGCCTGTTGCATAGCTCTCACATTAAAGTGTCTGTTTCTGCTCCTCTATTACAGTGGTTCTCACAGTGTGGTCCATACAACCCTGGGGGAGGTCCCTGACGTCAAAAACTATTTTTGTTGTAGCAATAATAAAATATTAAAAAACAACAATACTCTGTTGGCATTTGCACTGACAAAGCAAAAGTAATGGTGGGTAAAGCTACTGGCACGTTACTATGGAATCAAGGCGGTGGCACCAAAATGTACTTGTGGTGGTTGTATTTTTCCCCATCATACACTTGCAATAAAAATGTTGCCACTTTCAAGTAAAAATGTCCTTAATGAACAGAAAAAAAAATTAATTTTATGAAATCTCATCCCTTAAGTACAAGTCTTGCTAATACTCTGTGTGACCAAACGTGAGTATACAGAAGGCTGCACACTGAACTACGGAGGTTGCTCTAAGGAAAAGCATTTGTGCATTTTGAGCAGCAAGTTAAACCACCAAATTTCCACTGAATACCGTTTTTTCTTGGAAGAAATAAGGGCACACCTATGGTTGTTCAGATCTGGCAGACATTTTCTTGAAAATAAGTGAAATGAGTTTGTCACTTTAAGGAAAGCAACTGACCATTTTGTGGTTGATGATAAAATTTGTATTTTTACGTGAAAATTAGAATTCTGGAAAACTTGCATCTACCACCTTGATAGCTTCCTAGTACTTGAAAGCTTCTCTGATGAGAATGGTGTGATATTAACAAATGTGACTTTTTTGATACTGTATGCTGAAATGTGTCAACCTTTGGAACATCTACACAATCCAAAATTTGCCATATGATCAATACATGATATTACAAAGCACACATGCACAAAATCCATTTAATGTGCAAGACAAACCAATGGATTTTAATATAACAGTATGAAAAGTTCATTGAAACAGTTTCAGAATCCACATAAAACTAATCTTTAATAAAGAAACTATTACTTATTGACTTTAATGCAGTACCAAAGGAGACTATTCAAAATTATATGAAATTATTATTAAAAACTCCTCCCTTTTCCAGATACATAGCTCCACATGAGGCCAGATTTTCTTCATATACTTCCAACTAAAATAACATATTGCAACAGATAAAATGAAGAAGCAAATATTAAGCTACATATTAAAGGAATTTCAAAAACATTGAATAACTGGTATTCTTTTTGAAATTTTAAGATAGTTATTTTCATAAAATTTATAGTATATATTTATATATGAAATATATACTATAAAAGTATAAAAATAAAAAAATTATTAAAACTATTTTAAAAGTTCCAAGTAGTTACTCATCTTACCAAATTAATTATTAATCAACAAATATAGACAGATATAATCTTTTGTGGTCCACAATTTTAACAAGTAAAGGAAGGCTGAGACCAAAAGATTTTGAGAACCATTACTTTCCCATGATGAATAATTCTTGGAGCTGCATTTCTGAGCATTTCTACCAAAATACTAATCGCATGAAATGATTCATACTAAAAGGGCCTCCACTGGAATAAGTTTGAAAACCTGGAGACTCATAATAGATCTATTCTTGGAGAGTTGCCATGTACATTAGCCTGCTAGATGCTAATAGACAGAACTACTGTACTGCACTTATTTCATCGTATTTAATCCAGTGTTTCCTTACGTGTTCTCCGGAAGTTTGTGAGTGCAGAACACTCTCGTAACCTGATCTTTAAGAAGGGGGACGGGAACTGTGAAGTCTGCCTTAACTCACCTTCAAGCCGGACCACCAGGGGCACCTTAAGTTCCAGCTCCCGGCAGGCTTTGGTGATCCCATTGGCAATGATGGCACAGTTGACGATTCCACCAAAAATATTGACGAGGATGGCTTCAACCTGAAATCAAAAATAGGGAGGTGCCCTTCAAAATGCTGACAGCTAACATTCTCAAAACTAATTGACTAAATAATAGTTTTAGCCAATTAAGTTCTGTGCTTTTTTCAACACGGAACATAAAATATGAAACAAAGACCTAGAAACTATTAAGTTAAAATTTAGTGCTGAATTAATAAATATCAATATATAACATTATCATATTAACCCATATTATCCCATCAGTCACTTCTCTGACCTCAAAATGAATTCAGTCACCACTCATTTATTATATATTGTCTTCCGTGTTTTCTTATATGGTTGTCTGGAACTGTTCTTGTATGAGTAGTATTATTTAAAATTTCATGCACTAATGTCTTTTCTCCCCATGGTTTATGCTTAAATTTATCTGCTATGGTGCCTCATGGAATATTTCAAACTAGAAACTTATTAATTATTTGTTGTTTTGTGTTAATAAATAGCAAAGATGGAAACTTTTCCATGCTTTCTTAATATCACTGTGAAATTCTAGAGGTATATTCTCAAAAGTCATCTTAGATAACAAACTTTTTGATTAAAAAAAAAAAAAGACCCCCAAAAGAAAGAGATACAAGCTCATACCACAAGTAAGCATGTAAGGAAAGTCAAACCACTGAATGGAATTTTTCAGAAATGTAAATTTAAACCCATCATGTTAACCTGTTTGTGCATATTCCATATTCAAAGGCGTATGGGGAAAAAAATCCCCCCAAAAACCTGTACTTGCCCTGATTTGATAAATAGGTATAAGAAAATCTTGTATAATTAACATGAAGAACAAGATAATGAAGAGAATTCATTACCTAGATTAATTGATAATACCCAGAGAAAATGGCTATTCATCAAGCTGGAGGCATCAAAATTCCAACAATGGAATCACAATTAAATGACGCTACACTAATTGCAAAGCATATATGTGTGTGCTGCACACCATTTTAAAATCCTGTTAACTTCAATACGCTAAATTAACTACATGAAACGTATGAGAAAAGAACACCTTACATGTGTTCAGCACTTAGCTGTTTTGTTTTATAAAGTGTTATTATACGAACCCTCATTTTGAATTTTAATTCTTTCCAGAACGCTACTCAGAAAGCAAAGGGAGGGCTAGCCCTCTGTACCTGGTAAAGCCATTCAGCAAATTCACACCATGCGTCCCAAGGTCACATGGCTAACACGCAGCAGCGGTGAAGCTCCAAGTCAGCTCTCCAGTGGTCTATTGATTCTTCACTCATACCAGCTGCTAGAGCTGGGACCTTGGGCCAAGTACATACCTTGTTTCGAACACGTTTTCCTCATTTGTAAAATGGGAATAATAATACCTAGTGCATGAGGTTGTTGAAAGGACTAAATGACATACTACATGTGAAATGCTTAGGATATGCCTGTAAAGTACTTACTGGATATTTATATGTGCATTTCTTTCTTTCTTTTAATTCCCATCCTCCCACCCCTTCCTTCCCTTTTGGCAACCATTAGCTTGTTCTCTGTATCTATGGGTCTGTTTCTGTTTTGTTCATTCAATCATTCAATTTTTTAAGATTCCACATATAAGTGAAATCATATGGTTTTTGTCTTTCTGTCTGACTTATTTCACTTAGCATAATACCCTCTAAGTTCTATCCATGTTGTCTAAATGGCAAGATTTCATTCTTTTTATTGCTGAATCCCATTTTGTGTGTGTGTGTGTGTGTGTGTATGTATATACATACATATATGTATATGTATATATATGTATATATACGTATATATGTATATTACATATTCTTTATCCATTCATCTATTGATGGACATCTAGGTTGCTTCCATATCTTGATTATTGTAAATAATGCTGAAATGAACATAGGGGTACCTACATCTTTTTTAATCAGTGTGTTTTTTTTTTATAAATACCCCAAAGTGGGGTTGCTGGGTCATATGGGAGCTCTGTTTTAAATTTTTTGAAGAACCTCCATACTGTTTTCCATAGTGGCTGACTATACATGCATTTATTTCAACAAGCAATGATGAAAGTGAGCAGTTTCCCTAGATAGCAGGTAAGAATGAAGAAAACCTTTCAGTAGACTGTAGCTATGTTGAATTTGAAGATAATAGAAACACAAACTTACTGAAGTTCAATAAAAGGTAACATCTTAAGAATAAAATAAATGAGCAATATTTTTCAAACCAATTAGAGATTGAGGTTACTCCCAAAAAAGAAATCTCCCATTACCATTCACAGCAGGCTGACAGGTGAGCAGAAGCTTGCTTTCTGACAACAGCTTTCAAATGCTATTAGCATTGAGGCTTGAGATAGGAGTAGTTTCCAAATAGCTGTGGGATGGAGAGGAAGTTGCCAGAACAAAGAAAGAAATAACACTCAAGGGTAATGCTGATTATCACCACGGGGTCAAAGAGTGAAACTCAGGAACCAGGAATGGCCTAGGCTCACTCAGGTTTCTGTAGAAGAACTAGGCTTCCCAGCAAAGCACATGTACACCTCCACCGTGTTCCGAGCTGCACGGTATTTAAGGTATTTAAGGTTGAGTTCAAATATCAACACTTTCTCATTGACATTGTCCTGTCTCATCAACTTAGAGTGAATTACTCTGTTCAATCCATCTACAACAGTATGATCGCTCTATAGAGTACTGACATCATGCACAAAAAACTTATGTGAATTCATCTATGTAGGCAGGAGAAGGGGGCAAGGAGACTCGATGTCCAAGGCTCTGATTCAATCTACTCAGTGGGTCCTGGAAGGAGAGTCAGATATGAGCTGAGGATCTGGTGTTGCCTCAGCCGGTATCAGTTCCCATGAGTCCATTATATGTCAATCTCATTGTGTTTAAATAAGCATCTGACATTATAAACTGATACTCTTCATATGACAACTTCTA